CAGTTTATTCATTAACAACTTTTAATAACATAGGCAAAAATCATTTTCCACATGATACTCACTCTTCAAGTTTCCATGGTTTGCAACATGCCCTATATAAAGCTGCAACAGATATCCCAAGATGTGGCTTACTCTATCCCACTTCAACTAACCTTTCCATCTCCCTGTTCCTCTGCATCTATCTGGACTAAAATTTATCTGGGTGTGGCAGGGTGCAGATCTTCAACCCACCCATTATTCTGATTTACAAACAACAAACTGAGTAAGTATCTATCAATTTCCCTGTTTTTGCCAATAATATGCTATTCTTTGAATGCTGAATCTACAATTTCTAAGGTTAACTCAGGACTTTCAAAAACCAAATGGAGGCAACTAAACAGGATCTCCTCTTGCTGTCACAGAAAGGACTCAATGCAGGATAGGTTTGAAAGAAAACCTTGTTATAAATTATAAAAACATAACGCTTTTGAGATGAAATATTAGTAAAGCAGAAATAGTTTCATTTACTACTTCTTAGTGGCACTCCTGCCTTGCTTGGGGTGATATGCTTTATATAAAAAAAAATAATGGATTCCAAAGTGGAATGTACAGTTGTCACACTGAGGACACAAGCCTATATGTAGAGGAGTGATTATCTTGAAATAAATTAATATTTTTTTGTTTTAAATTGTTTCATTGTTTTCCTTTAATTACTGCATGAATTTGTTGAATTGTTTTGAGTGTTTTAAATTATTTTGACTGCTTGGAAAACTATTTATAAGCTATTAATAGCCATTTTCAGTATGAAATGGGAGAAACAAACATAAGAAAACAAACAACAGTACGTACTAGTTTTGTCTGATGACACAATATTCAAATATGATGTCAGCTCATTTCTCTTGGAACCATGATAATTGACAAGTACTCAAATATTTTTTAAATACCTTTAGTAACAATGGAGTTGCTTGATTGATGAGTTAGGGATCAATTTCCTTTCCTGCCAACATAAAGACCAGAACATTAAAAGTTGATTTGTAAGGGTTTATTTTAGCCTGCTTTTAACTTGTAAGATTGGTACAATCCATTCTTCCTATCTCCACAATTCTATACAAGACTGGGCCAAACATAGTTAATATTGATATACCAGATATCTAAGTAACCAGAGATTTAGAGAGTTAAACATGTCAATCTTTCCATCACTGGAATGACTACATCTACAGTGACATAGCAGTCAAAAATGGTAACAAGAACAATAAGTTAAAACACAAAAAAAAAAAAAATGTTAAACTGTTAAAATGCAGTTCCATTCAGACAGCTTCTTCCCAAGAGCAGTTTCTTTATGGAACAAATTTCCATTTGGATGCTCCCCCTCCAGAAACATTATGAACCTAATCTCTTCATGTCTAGTCAACCTATCATATATATATATATATATATATATATATATATACTGTACTGGATGAGAATTTATCTAAAAAAGTAAAGAAAAGGAGTATATGGTATATTTTGTTAAGTTGTTACTATTATTGGGTTTTTATATGAGAAAATTTAGATATATATTTTTTCCTTTTTAGTATAGTTGACCCATTTGTTCATTCAGATACCAATATATTCCAATAACTATTTGTTTTTTGTCAATTCTAGATTTCAAAGAGATTATCCTTTTTTTGCATTATTCATTCATTCGAGAAAAAAAATCAAACAGAGACACTGCCACTTGGCATCACCAGTGCAAGAGAGATAAAGTTACAGACATCATAAATAAAAATATACACTTAGGATATCATATAGTAAAATTTTCTATGAAGTAACAAATAGTTATGCTTTAAGAAAATACAAATATTTTGATCATGAAAACACTTAGCTGAAAATATTTGGAAATGTTTAAAATTTAATTGTTTAAATTTTAAATGGCATTTGTAACAAATTCTGATAAATGTTAATAGAGACAGCATTAAAATGAACTAACATTTTTTTTCATTATTAGACATGTATATATATTCTGTGATGTACGTACAATTATTCACTCTTGGAATTTAGAGAATTTGTTTGTTTTTTTTTAGGAGGGGGGTAGTATGTTAGTTGCTGGGTTTAAAGTAAATTTACACTGAAAGGGTTATTTTTAATGAGAAGAGAGAACTACTGAAATTGTATAGCTTTAAACCAGTGAATGGTTGCCGGACATTACTTTTTTAACATTTATATTCATCGAATAAGAAAACAAAGGATATTGTAATATGCAGTTTTTTTATTAAATATTTTATTCATTTTTTTTTTAAATCAATTTTATTTTTTTAACACTTTCATTGCTGTACATATACTTATGTTGTTTTAAATGCCTGCTGCTTTATAAAGAATCAAATTATGTAATTTTTACATGTTTTTTTTTAATGAATTTAAAGAATGTTAGATTAGAAAGGGACTTTTCAATACCAAATCGCCTTTTGAAATATTTCTCACATTATGACAAGAAGAAAATAAATCCTGTTTGGCTTTCAACTTGTAATCCCATAATGCAATATGTCACACCTGCATTAATTTTAAAAATATTATCTTGACTAACAGAACATAAGGTTGTGAATAAAAAAAACGGACCCTCGCCACCAAATTTTTTTTTTTTTTAAAACCAAACAAGCTTCTAATAAGTAAATAACAATAATAGTAAGAGAACAGTCTTAATTATTGTTTCATGTGTAAGAGAAGAATTCTTGGACTCTGGAAATATATTTAATTCATCTGCGGCTTTAGTTAATTTATTAGCAGACATAAAATATACAATACCAAATTTTTTATCCCTCCATTTTTGTCATTCGATTACTCAGTATTAGTCTAATATATAAATTTGCATATCTTTCCGAAGTCATTGCAAAATCCAAAAAAGAGAACACTGTATTTAACATTCTCTTCAGAGTTTCATCACTTTAAGATTTAACACCAGGTTATTTATATTTTCTTTTGGACATGGAATCCTAGTTGCACCTTTACTTCTCTTAAAATGAAAACATTTTACTCACCCTCAAACTCTTGTGTTTTTCCAGATTATTTTCTACCAAACTTGGCATTTACTAGCAACTCTTATCAAATCCTTGCCTTTCTTTAGTGTTAACTATTTTCATGATTGAAATTGTGCCAGTGGAAAATGACCAGAATGCTTGCTCTTGGAGTATAAATGCATCCAGAAAGTTTTAAGGTAATTCATCAATTACTTTTGTGGGAAGAAAATTATGAAAAAAAGATGAAGTCAAATTTGTTGGTGAAAGTAATATAGACAAAAATAATCTAAATTATTTTATCAATTATTTTTCTCAGCAAAAAATAAAACTCAATTTTCATAAAGTGAATGCAAAATGAAAGAAGATGAAATCAATATTTAGAATTGGAGTTAATCTGACAACAGCACGTACTCAGTTAAGATATGATGTTTTCAATCAGAGAAGTGAACACAGAGCAAGGCATTATGGGAGAGAGTGTAAAAAAGAATAAAAATTCAGCCATTCATGCCAATAAATATTTATTGTATGCATCTGATTCTACAATCCAATATTATATATTGGACACTTTTTTTCCATAACATTGATATAGCTGGTGGCAACTGTTGAATGGCTGTCAATACTGTGAAGCAAGTTGACAAAGATGGCATTTATTTTTTTTTTTTTAATTTTCAAGAAAATATATTTGTGTGAATATATTTTATTTTACATTTACAGTAGGGATTTCAATGTCTGAAAATACAAACCGTAAATTATGGCAAGGAAGAGAAATAAAATTTTGTGTTCAAGGAGAGCAAAAATTAGGTCATGATTTATGAAGAGGCAAAGCAATGTCAGTGAATGATATTACAAGCTTAAAATAGAAAATGAAAAGAGAAACATTGCAAAAATAGGAAAAAAATAAGATGTATTTCAAACATTTTTAAATGTCATCAACTACATGGAGATTTCCTATATACCTCAAAATAAAAAGAAAGAACAGTCAGATTTATAATCCACAGTTCTTTAGCATTTATTTTTAAAACCAGTCCTCAATACACAGTAGAGCATAATATTATTATTTAAAAATATGTATTCATCGCAACACAGAAATTACCATGTTTTGGAACTAAAAGCTAAACTTTAAATTAAAATTTTTGTTCCATTCATAAGCTATGTTGAATAACTTCCAAAAAAAAAAAAAAAAAAAAAAAAAAAAGTATTATATAGTTTAAGTTGGAGGGGGAAGGGATTACAAAATTTTAATTTTTATGACAAATCAGCATACAAAACTAAATTAAAGTTTAGTTTTTAGTTCTGATACATGGTAATTTCTGTGTTGCAATAAATACATTTTTTTATGTAATATTATAATATATTATTAAAAAAGTAATTTATAAAAATAAAATGCCAAAATTAACCCATTGTTCAATACATATACCTCTTTGTATTATTTCAATGTATCTTCTTAACAGGAAGCAATGGTGGCATTTCTAATACAAGACAGCTCATCTAGACAAGCATGAATTACATACCCACACCTAACCTCCAACCTTTATTTTTTCACTTAGATCTGTCTTTGGATTCGTCAAATAAAACAACACCCATAAAAATAATTTTTGAAAACTTATTTTCCCACCTACTTAAGCTCTTCAATATAATAGTAAATAATTTTTTTTTTTTTTTTGAAGTTACTGAATATCGCTTGAAAATGGAACAATAATTGAAATTTCTGTTATGAAAAAGATTTTAAAAATAATAAATATATATATATATATATATATATATATATACACACACACACACACACACACACACGTGTGTATATAAAATTTCAGATATAACTAAAATATATCTGTAAAAGAACAATATGAATAAAGACAATAGAGATGTCAAATATTTATCAGGTTAACCAAAAATCTAGGGAAATTATGGAGTGACATAATTTAATCTCTAAAGTCCATCATAGAACAAAACGTGTCAGCTAAGTTAAATTTTCCATTTGTCATTATATATATCACAAACACACAAGTAGTTCTGCTTATAAGACATGTGTTAAAACACTGGTTTTCATTCAATCATTGAAGTTAAGCAACATTGAGCCTGGTCAGTACCTAGATGGGTGACTGCTTAGGAATACCAGGTGCTGTAAGCTTGGCTGTGCAAGTAGTGTAATGGATAATGGCTCTAGATTGGAACTCAGAGATCGAAGTTATAATTCTAGTCCACAATGAGTACTGGTGGTAATAATATAGAGCTCAATCTAAAATAAAGTTAAAATTTATACTAATAAATAAATATATATTATGTCACTGTTTGATACTATATAGTTTAAAATTTGCTATATTTATTAGGGAAGAGTGTTCAATATTGGCAATAAAACATTTATAGTTACAGACAGTATAAACATAGGAACCAACACTGCATGGTGAATGGCACATTGAAGCATAAAACAATCACTATGCGATGTTGATACCTATGTACACACTGTGTGTGTGTGTGTGTGTGTGTGTGTGTCTATGTATGAATATATATAATTTTGTATAGTGAAATGAACTTGTCTATTCCTTCAAAATAAAGAATTTCAACAATATCTAAGACAAGCAGAAGCAAATGGATGATAGTCAATGATAAATGAAGAAGGGAAAAATGAGTCAAAATCTTGTGCTAATCTTCACAACGGAAGTCAGGGAATGCTACACACAAGGTACAAATAAAAAGTTAAGGAGATTTAACAAAAAACAGAAATTCACTTAACATTCAGTTTCTGCTTGTTTTTATATATATATATATATATATATATATATATATATATATATATATATATATAATTTTGAAAAGTCAAATTTTCAAGGTGTTCATATGAAATCAAGAAAATAGTAATTTTTTTTAGTAAAATGGTCACAGTATGTTTTCATTGACAGCAGGAGGATATGGGTTTTATGTTTTTCTTTTTTCATAATGAAACTTATATAAGTAAAAACATGTTTAAGTTAATTTTCTGATGCACCTTTTCATATGAAATGTTTTATTTGAACTGTTCATAAAAATGGACTGATATAGACAATGTTCACACATTTAGTAAATATTGTTACTCACTTTACAGGTGAAATGGAAAAAAAAAAGTGTATAGATTCCAAGAGACTGCTGTGTAATTTTGATCTCTAATAGCTTTGTTTCCCCCTTTTTGACATAAGGGAGAAGTTTGTTAACAACCTGGCATACTTAGTTGACTGACCACAACCTGTTGCAAAATATCGTATCTGTCTTCAGGTGAGACAATAACAATATAGATTATGTTTCACCTTTTGAGATGCTTTTTAAATATTTAATTTACATGTAAGATATTTTTTTTTGTTTTGTTTTTTTTTAATATTACTACACAGACAATAAAAACACTCAAAACCGATTCCTGTCTTTGAATACAACCAAACAATGATCGGAAGAGAGATAGAAACGAAACCGTTCCAGCAATAATCGATGATGACAATGTAACTTTTCAATGCACCTACCCAGGTATAAACATTAAGAAAAAAAGCAAGTACATAGTCAGTTGTACATGCCTTTGACAGAAGGGATGAATCCCCCACCACCACAAAAAACCCCCCAAGTATGCATACATGATTGCGTGCGCGCGCACTCGCAAAACTCGTGGAAGTCATCCCCTTTAAAGCCTTAAATGTAGGTGCTAAAAATTCAAGACTTATAGTATACTTAATTTTAAACATTTGTACGTGTAAAATTGATTTTTCTGTCTGCTCAGAAAACAGTAATTTTCAATCAAAGTTCTAATATAAAAATAAACTACTTAAAAAAATGATGAAGGGGTGGCGGATTACTAAAGAAAGCCAAAGTTCACTCCTTCACTCTGTATGAAAATAACTTCGTACTTACATTTTTTTGTACATGCATGAATGTGAATCCCTTAATAATGCAACAAACAGGAATATAAACACTCACTAGATTTTTAAAAGTTTAAAAATGACATACTTCTGTATTTTGTAGTAGCAGTTAACATTCGCAATCAGTTGTAGTAAATTTAAAACGTAAACGTTCACTTTAAAAATGAGTATTTATTTTTTAAGTTGTCAAACAACTACCACTACTATGCATACAGTGAGTACTGTACACATAAAAATAAATATGATAATCACGAAAATAAGACTTGTATTTTTTTTGTACATAAAAAACTTTATTTTATTTTATTTTTAGTAATGATCAGGTACCTTCTTACAGTCAAGTCATTATCCGTGTTAGGTACGCCAATTTCGAAGGCAAATCCTACAATTTTTTTTTTAACTTTAGTGGGAAAAAAGCCTAAGATAAAAATAAAATAGTCAAAAAAATTCAATTTTTTTCGTCGACCAAGTTATTAATCAATATTCAATATCATAGACCGGTGTTAAATGCATAACTTCAGAAAGAAAAATGTTCAGTTTCTTGAAATACAACACGAAACTTTCTCCAAAAAACTTGAGTTTCATTAGGATTAGGAGTAAGTGAAGAAATCGACAACTGTACCTAAATTTATTTAAAATTTAAATAGACGTCATCCTTGACTACAAGTTAAAACCAAAAATGTTTCAGCAATGAAAAATAAATAAATAAAATGTTTCAGCAATGAAATAATATTTATTTAGCTACCTTCATCATGAGATCGCTAAAAAAGAAAAAAAAAGCATAGCATGATAAAAAAAAAAAAAAAAAAAAAAAAAAAAAGACGCCAAACTTGACGAAAACAAAATTTTATCGTCTATGTTTGTTAAGAGGAAAGATCAAAGTATTTGGGGTATTTTTTTATTTTTTACATTTATTTAAAGTTTCGTCCTCAAATTAAAAACAAAACAAAACAGAAATGAACGTCAAAGTCGAAGAATTTCTGAAGGTAAAATAAATAAATAAATAAAAACTCCAAGATTTTCACTTGGAGTATAAAAATAACAACAAATTATGAACTTGAATCAATGCGAAGAGTAACAAGGAGAAATTGTAGCAGTTTCTTATCTTAATAAATAGATTAAAAACACAAAACAAAAACACGAGTAAATTAAATAAAAAAGAAATTATATATAAAAAATAGAATTGCGTACGACACAAAAACTAATTCGGCTATCCGCTATAAATATCCGAAAATACTACAAATTGTAATTTGAAGAGAAGCACAGATGATACGGGCATATTAAAAAGTAATACTTACAATAATCATAGCCAAGGTAACAACCAGTTATAGTAGTAATCACATGTAGTAATACATTTTGCCATATGGGTTTTGTTGTTATTTTGTTTAGTACTTTTTTTAAAAAACTGGTGTGGTGGATGTCTATTTGTGAAATAATAAATAGAAAGTTTAAGAGAGGGGGTAATGAGGGAAAGCTTAAAATACAGAGGGAGGGTGAAATTATTAATGTTGGGGGGAGGAAAAAAAGGGAGGAGAAAGAAAAGGGGACGCTGAAGCAATATTGAGGTCAGAACAGCAGTGATTTCTTATCCAAAATGAACTTGTAGCAAAAGCTGCAAACGTTTGAAAGTGGAAGTGAATAACACGATCAGGGTTGCGAAGCCGAGAAGAAGGGAGTGGTTACTTAAAGGAGCACTGGGGGTAAGAGACGAAAGTAGGGAAGAAGGTGAAAAAGAGGAGGAGGAGGATGAGCGGCAACAGGAGAAGAGGTGAGTGCGTCTGAAAAGGAGAGTTTTGAGAACAGAGAAAAAGATGATAGGGGACAAGGGTAAAGGTGGAGGTAGAAGTTTGGAATTGGCAAAGAATCTCACTAAAAGATGAGAAGTTGGTGCCATACTTTCAAAGTTCCAAGTTCTCAAATTCTAATCTGCAGATTCTGGTGCCAATAAAAAGGACAGTGAAATAAAAGGGAAAAGGTAGAGTATTAGTAGTAATGTTGAGAGAAAGAAGAGATTACCAAAAATAGCTAACTAACAAGAGGAGGAGGAGAAGGTATGAATACAAAAGTTGCTATATCTAGAGGTGGGTGGAGAACACTCAATATCTTAGATAAAGCTTCTTTTTTTCTTTTTTTTGTAGATAACAGGATGGGCATAGAAATCAACAGTGCATAGTGACTGTCAATTTCACACCTTAACTGATCATCACGAGTTTGAGGAGTTATGATCGCTTACAGTGTGAAAATGACAATCACCATCCAGTGCTGATTTATTTTCATGTCCAACATACGTGTGTGTGGACTTGGGAACCACAAGAAGAGATACCCCACTCACAAAAATCTTAATGATGGTCATAGAAAAGTGGGTTGAGTCGATAACTTTTCAGCACCCCCTACATGTCAAGGACTTTTTATTACTTCCCTGTGTGTGTGTTGGAGGAGGAGGAAAAACTTACTATGTTGGTAAACAGTTTGGTATTTCACAATGAAGAATGAATTTTTTTTTTATGGCCGCTCATAAAATAATCATTTAGTAACCCTTTATGTCTCAGTGGCTTTACTACCTTCTTTGGCGTGAAATTGATTAAGAAAAAAAATCATTCATTTTGAGAGTATGAGGAAACTAAAAAGGTTTATATGGGGGGGGGACTAATAGAAATAAGCGGAAATAACTGTGCTTTTCTTGCTTCTGTAAGACACTTTCCTATATTCATAAAAAAATGTTACATTTTGAAAGGGGAGACTAGAAATATCAGAAAAAGTGAGTGCACCAATTTATAAAAGGAGAGTGAAAGAGAAAGTGACTTTGTGGCGAAAAGCAGCAGAGAAAAAGAGAAAAGATGGATATGTGGAAATTAAAACAAAGTACATGAAACATGAAAAAAGCACAAATGAAAAAGACAAAAGAAAATTAAAATAAAAATATGTCAAAGTAAATCTACGGATAGATTTTTGATTCAGTTAGTGGACATACACACACACATGCTAGTGAACAGCTACAGATTTTTTTTTTTTTTTTGATCATTCAAAATATTTGGGAATGCACATAAGATCAGCATTAAAAACTGAAAGTTACAACTCTTTAAGTAGTAAGACAGAAAAATGCACAATCCAAGAAAACGCATCCTAGCTTAAAAATAACTTCCAGAAATTTTGGTTGAATATTTTCACACACACACACGCACACAAAAGAAAGTCTAGCATACATATGATCAGCAACAACTGCCAATTTCAAAGTGCAATAGGGTGTATGAAATTGGGAGTCATGGCCATTGCACACAGGACTTCACTATAAAATATTGCTATTTTGGCATTGAGAACTTTATCTTGGAGTACTATTGTAGTGTACTTCTGCAGGAGTTGCTTTTTGTGTTATATTACTACTTCAACAATTTTTTTTTTTTTTACTGGATAAACATGTTTGAAATAGATGCCTTTGTTGTTTTATTTAGAAAAATAAAAATAGCATTTGTAACAATAAAAATGTCAGATTAAAAATAAATCCATTCTTTAGAACTACACACACACGAGATGATGCTGAAGTTTTGAACAGACACATTTGCAAAATTTGATCATATGTCAGATTTCTTCTTCCGTTGTTTTTAGCCAGACCAACAACTTTTTAGAACCTCATCATACAATATATATATATATATATATATATATATATAATTATTTATATATTATATGCAGCGGTACTTATTAGAAAGCGCTCAATATCAGAGATAGAGCTAACATCTATCCAACCATATATATATATATATATATATATATATATATATATATATATATATATATATAGGCTGTTTGCTTGTTTCTGAGTACATCAATCTGCTGGATGTGGGGGCTAGTCAATCTCTGTTGCAGATGCCTGCATAGGTACATTTGTTTTTGTTCAACACCTATAGAGCCCACCTGTGTATCATTTCAGAGAAATGCTGCACATGTTGGACTTGGCACCCAAGTTTCAATGTTAGTAACAATGGTTAAATGAACATTTATTCATCTCTAATGATTCATCATGCCAACCTGAAAATTGAAACTTTCTCAAATGAATTCTTAATTTTGAAAAGTTCTTTCTTTTCAATATAGGAAATATGTCCTGAGAGTTCAAGAAACATCAAAGAAATAAAAACAAATGACAAAAAGTGATCTGTTTTGATTTGATTAATGGTACATGAAAGAATATTTTTTGGTTAATGTTATTTTGTCTAATGTTATTTTTATTTTTTAATTAAAGAGTATTATTCGCTATAATATTAGTAGCGACAATAATGAGGTGCAGGTGAGTCAGCAGTTAGTAGCATGAAATATGAAATCAGCAAATCAAGTTGAAATTCCTGCTGAAACAGTTTGTCTTTTGTTCACACCAATGCCTTGAGGAAAGGCATGAACCCACCTCCTTTCCTCCCAGCATTAGGTCAAATAGCAAGAGAAATTGCTATTAAACTCTAGCTTGATTGGCAACCAATCAAAGAAGACAAATAGAGAAATTACTCCATTATCTCTCCCCAAGAACAGTTATGCCAATGTACAGTTTGCAGATATAAAAGATAAGGACAATGTAGGGAGTCACAATTGCCTATATCCTGAAGAGAGATACCACTTAATGAGTGACAGCAATGATGAATTATATAGAATTATTTTTCATCATTTTGTAATTTCTTTTAATGAGCTATCTCTATAGCACAGACAACAACAAGTGGCAATGTCTTCTGACAATTGTGAACTGTTTGAACATGCTTATGAAGCCGAGAAGAGAAAAAACTGATCTTGTAAGAGTAGCATTCAACAACAATAATTGGAAAATATATATTCAATTTAAGAATTCACATGTAAAAAGTTTCTAATAATAACAAGAGCTTAAAATATATCATGGTGTTTTTTTATGCTATGAATAAACTGGTGATAATTATGACAAGAACAACAATTAATAATATTTATCATTTGAAGTTGCAGATGCACTTTTAGTTTGCCAACAGGTAAGGTCCCAGAAATTAAGAATGCCAGAAAGGCTTCAAATTCTGGCTGTCAGCACTTGGCTTATCCCTCCCGACAACTACCCACATTAAAAGTAGCCACTTTTAATGATTTAATTCATCAAGTATTCAATGTTAGATGCCATGATATGATGCTGGGCTTTTAATCATTAGTTGAGTAGGGAGACAAGCACAGAATGCATTGTTATTAAGGTGTACACATAAACAGGGGAAATAATGCAATTGGGTGTATATAGGCACATGAAAAATGATCACAGGTTGGCAGATAGATAAACACACACACATCAGGTTACATGAAGATAAAGGAGGCAATGATAGAGCTGATGATAATGTGAAGGCAAATGGGAAGAAAGAAGGAATTCCTTTCAGTTTTTCTTGCCTTACATCCTACCTTTTAGCCGGTGGCTAATTCTATTCACACATGTGCATACAGGCGTGTGTTGCACATAACGTTTCTAATGATGATCATGGTGCAGCTCCAGGGAACATCACAGTTTTCTCTCCCCCTTTCTCTCACTCAGTATCCCTTTACTGTGCCCCCATTTTTTTCTTTTTAACATAAAAGTATTGTTATGATTACTGATTGATAAAAGAAAGTAAGGGGAAGGGAGGGAAAAAAGTGGTGTGAGTTGGAGATAAAATAAGAGTGTATGGAGAAGGGAGGTGAGATTAAAGAGAGAAGAGAGGTGAAAGAAATTGGACAGGAGTAAGAGATAGTTACAGTGAAAATGTGCAGAATGGGAAGAGGGAGTACTGAAAGGGAGTATTGGAGGTTAGTCTCAATCACAAAGGTCCATTTCTTTAATTAAGTGGTCATTCTCAAGTTCTATTCAATGAATGGTTCATCTGATTCCACTTCAATAACAACTTTGGATGCAGAAATGTGGTCATTGAAGAAAATAAAAAGAAAGAAAGAAAATGAATGGGGAAATTGAAAGAAAAAGAGTAAGAAAAAAGTGGAGGGAAATCATAAGATAAATTGGGAGAGTGGGGAAAGAATGCAAAATTGGGAGACAAATGATGTAAAATGAATAGGGATTAGAGAAAAGAGGGTATAGAAAGGAGAACAGTAAGGGGATCTAATGGGATAAAGAAAAAGAAAATGACACAGAAAGGAATTAAAAAATGCATGTCAGAAGGAAGAGAGAGGAAAAAAAGAGGAGAGGAGAAATAGGGAGAAAACATTACTGAAATATTATAGAAATGGTAGCAGAGAGAGGGCATGGAAAGAAATAGATGTTTCAAAGAGAGCGGGCATGGAAAGAAAGAGACGTCGCATGAGAGCGGGCATGGAGAGAAAGAGACGTCGCATGAGAGAGGGCATGGAGAGAAAGAGACGTCGCATGAGAGAGGGCATGGAGAGAAAGAGACGTCGCATGAGAAAGGGCATGGAGAGAAAGAGACGTCGCATGAGAGAGGGCATGGAGGAAAAGAGACGTCGCATGAGAGAGGGCATGGAGGAAAAGAGACGTCGCATGAGAGAGGGCATGGAGGAAAAGAGACGTCGCATGAGAGAGGGCATGGAGGAAAAGAGACGTCGCATGAGAGAGGGCATGGAGGAAAAGAGACGTCGCAGAGAGAGGGCATGGAGAGAAAGATGTTACAGGGAATTTATATGTATCAGAGAACAAGCATAGGGAATTTCAAACCTATTGAGGAGTAATAATCAAGGGACAATTCATACCTATCAGAGAGTGAGGATGGGGTTAATTCAAACCTATCATAAAGCAAGGATTGGGTTAATTCAAACCTATCATAAAGCAAGGATAGGGTTAATTCAAACTTATAGGAAAGAAAAGACATAGGGGTAATTATAACCTATTGGAAAATGAAGATACAGGGGTAATTCAAACCTGTTGGAGAGAAAATATGGGGGTAATTCCAACCTATCCCAGAGCGAGGATTTTCAAATCTATCTGAGGTATCAAGAAGAAAATAGAGATTAAAAGAAACAAATCAGTTGAATTTCCATTAAGAATTAAGTTCAGAGAAAAAAAAAAAAACGGAAAAAGAAAAAAATGGAAAGAGTAAATAAAAGAATGATACAAGCAAAAATTTCGAAGAAAAAAAAAACTTCCATAATAGCAAAATAGTATGAATTATAAATGAATGTGTATGCAATAAAATTAACAGGCAAAATTAAAATATATTTTAAGATACAGGTCAAATTAACTGATTTTCTTTTTGTTTTTTCTGCTCAGTATCTGTCCTCAAGAACACATGGCACAGCAGATAAATTATTATTAGTCATTAGTTAGATCCAGTGACAGGACCCAAAGAGTGTGAGTTCAATATCCGGTTAAGGCAGTGGAGAACTTGGAGAGGGGAATTAACAGGAGATAACTGACAACTGACATCCATTAAACATGGCATATGGAACTAGAACAGTTTACCCCAGTGAGCGAAATAAAGGGTTCAGTTCGACATTCCAACCACCTGAAGAAGGCCAGAGCGTACAACAGCTTGAAATGTTGTAATAAATATGGCGACAAAGATGAGGACAATAGTCCAAATAATGTAAATAGTGTACATAATACTTCATCACAGAAATATAGATAGATAATAAAGGGTTCAGTTCAACATTCCAACCACCTGAAGAAGGCCAGAGCGTACAACAGCCGAAACATGATAAATTTAGCAAAAATGATGAGGACAATAGTCCGAATAATGTAAATAGTGTTCTTTCTGTTCATTAGTTTAGAATTATTAAGCAAGCCATTATCTATGGTTGATTTGTCAGGAAAGTGGCTTCTTAAACGTTTTTGGTTCGGGAGGTGATTTCTCCAGGCTGCACTTTTGGAAAATGTTTGAAAGCCATATCATGGGTTGATTGAAGCCTTTTGAGTGAAATTGGGTAGATATAATAGTTGTGCTAGCATGACCGAGAGTTTGAACATACTGGTGTTGTTCAAAACTACTACTGTCTTCCTCACATCTTCATTGAAGAGTCATAGAAAAATAACAAAACATTTATATTCCTTTTGATGAAATCAATTAAAATGATTGGAGCATCATCTCACCTTTTTTCCTCATTAAGAAAAGGTTAATTAGAAACAATATGATCATTTAAAAGAACAGACTACAATGGAATAGCTAACAAGAATAATTCAAGACAAGTTCCTACTTTTAAGAATATTTTTCAAGATTTTCCATTATTTCAAACCACAGAGTCAAATTTATAAACATAAGTATATGAAACCACCTGTTTTGATGAATAGCCTATAATACAATATTCTTCATAGTTTGCTCCCAGTTCATTATAATCTAAAATTTTCAAATGTCATTCTGAAACAGCTTTCATATTCATTTGCTTAAAGGCTGCTCAAGGTGGTCTTTAAGTTTGGTATGAAGCTACTCTCTATTTATAGAATCTTACTTATTATAAAACGCAGATTGTGTGTGTGTGTCTGTAACGTTTATATATTGGATCGGATTTCCTACATTTTTCAACCGATTTCAACAAAACTTCACAGGATTATATGAAATTACATTGTGGTGGTTCTAACAGCGCCAAAAATGGGGAAAAATATAATTGTTTTTGCACAAAATCAATTTGAAAACACGATTAAGAGACATCGTGAAAATGCAAGGGGGACAACTCACATCGGATTGTTTGTGTGTGTGGGTTTTTTTAAAATATGGGATCGGATTTCCTATATTTTTCAGCTGATAAAACAAAAATTCACTTTTTTTTTTTTTTTTGGCAGGTAGTGTTTCTTATTCTCTTGCACACTTTTTTCTTTATTTTTAATATTCAGAATGCTTTAAAAATTCCATTTACAAGACAATTATTTATAATAAAATTCTGTTCAATTGGGAGACTCATAACGATTGAAAACAATGTTTTTGTTTGAGTTTAGGTTTGACCAATTTGTAAAAAAAAAAAAAAAAACTAATTAAGACATGCATGTCCGTCGACCTTAAACAATAATCTAACGATCTCTACTGATTGTACAAATACAAACATTGGATAAATTCTTTATCTTTAGGGAAAGATAATGAAATCTAAACATACACAAGTCCTAACTAAAAATAATAACCGGAAACTACTTTAAATACACATGGTGTCCAATTTTTTTACTGTATTCAATAAGTAAAAATCATAAATTGTAAGTATTATTACAGAAAGGCTACTAAATGAATAAGATTTGTTAGATCATAATTAATAAACCCAAATAAAGTTAATATTTTTTGTATTAGAAACAGCAAGTGGAAAATATATTCAAATCAGAATTCTAATTATGAATCACCACAAGCAAAATAGGCAATTGTTTTTACTGTATTCAATAAGTAAAAATCATAAATTGTAAAACTAAGATTACAGAAAGGCTACCTACATTTTTCAACCGATTTCAACAAAACTTCACTTTTTTTTTGGCATGTAGTGTTTCTTATTGTCTTGCACACTTTTTTCTTTATTTTTACATTCAGAATGCTTTAAAAATTCCATTTACAAGACAATTGGTTATAATAAAATTCTATTCAATCGGTAGAGACTCATAACGATTGAAAACAATGTTTTTGTTTGAGTTTGGGTTTGACCAATTCATAAAAAAAAAAAAAAAAAACTAATTAAGACATGCGTGTCCGTCAACCTTAAACAATAATCTTTGTCAATTTTATTTTTCAGTCTTTATGATGGTGGATACTTGATCTATCTCTTACTGTTATATCCCCGGGCAACGCCGGGCTCTACTGCTAGTCTATTATAAAATATAAAACATTTATCAGTAATTCAGCCTGTTCTTCCCTCTATGCTTAGGAGATATTCCATGTGGTAACAAGAGGCATTACTAGATGCCAGGATGCTAACATGCTTTATGTTAGCCTAATATCTCATTAGTAATGAGCAATAAGAATAGGATGTTAATACATTGCCTTTTATTTGTTTTGTTTAGATTTCTTTGAATATATTTATTTAAAATGCAGATTTCTTTTCTTACATGTAATAATAGTTAACAGCAAAGATAAAAATCTTGGATGAATTAGAAAGAAAATAAGCAATGCAATTGCAAAATTACTTAAATACTGCCATCATTTGTGAGTACAGGGAAATTATATAATTTTCTGCAAATAAACAAGGGGAACTACTCTGTAATTAGCCAAACTCCAATTATATTTAAAATTTAAAGTTAGCTTTAATTGTACTTGTACTGATCCCTAATGAGCAGAAGTCTTGTGTTAAATGAATTTTTAACAAAAAAGAGAACATAATTTTTGTATAAAATAATGTTTATTTCATAAAAAAAGTTTTGTATTTCTATATAAAAACATGGAATAATACTTATTTCCTTCCAAAATAAAAGGTATAATTTTATGGCTACCATTATTTTATGCATTTCTTTTTCTCTTTCAATGGCAATATTTTCTTTTTAGGAACAAATGCACAAACATTATTATCATTATTATTATCAGCTTTAGCACAAACAAAGTTTCAACACTATTATTATTAAGTTGCAAGCTCAACTAGAAATGGCTTCATTATTCAAGTTAGAATATTTTATCAGTATTGTGCTCACAAAAATGTGCCAAGCTAACACACCCAACTACAAACAAATCAGATCATTATCATATAGATTACTTTGGAAGCTTTTTTAAGTCAGTACTTTCATTGTAATTTCTGTGATAGTCTTATTGTTACAGAGATTCTTAGAAACTCAAAAGAACAAGAAGATATTCCTTCAATTAGGGAAAGTCAAAAGATTGTGTTCTATCACCAACTTCTCCAGGATGTGGGCGATCATGGCCCTCCACAATATCCTATTCTTTGCAGCTATAACATGTCTTTTTATCAAACCTCCCTGGGTGGTAGCTCCTGTTAGGGTCCCAGATATGGGCAAATAGTGAAATCCTCCAAACAAAAATAAACAGTACTTTTTTTTTATATAATAAAATGACCAACAATACATTTTATACCAAAATGAAAATCAATGAAACACTAAAAAATATATATAAAATACATTTTTATAGAAAAATTACCAACAATACATTTTATTATCTACAAATCTACAGACTATATTAAAACAAAACAAAAAAAAATATCTTTATGCCGAAAGTATAAAATCATGGTTTGGTTTGGTTTATCACTTATCAAACTCAATGGGTTATTTAATGCCAACAAGATTTTTACTGCTGGTAATATTTTTTTCAAAAATGTATTGCTGGTAATATTTTTTCTTTCAAAAATTCATTCCTGGTAATAATTTTTTACAAAAATGTATTGATGGTATTAAAATCTATTTTTACACTTTCATAGTGTTTTGACCCCAAATTGGGGTCAAAACACTATGAAAGTGTAAATAGCTGGGACCCTAACAGGTGCTACCACCCCAGTTCAGGGTGGACCTGGGAATATCAGCAATTAAGTGGTAGTTCCACACTCCACAAAACCTTCTGATCAGAGGCCTTGCTCTTGGATATAGTTTATTGTCTTACCCAGGATGCCTCATTTGACCTTGGGAGTCCTTACCCTTCTGAAGATGTACAGTCAGCATTTTCTGAAGCCCCAGCCAACAGGGCTATAAAATTATGAACAAAATATCTGTAGTTGAAAACATAAAATTACATACAAAATGTTAAGATTTCAG